TAAGATGAAGAGATTGCGTCAAGTTTGCTGGTAAAAATAAGATGAAGAGATTGCGTCAAGTTTGCTGGTAAAAATAAGATGAAGAGATTGCGTCAAGTTTGCTGGTAAAAATAAGATGAAGAGATTGCGTCAAGTTTGCTGGTAAAAATAAGACGAAGAGATTGCGTCAAGTTTGCTGGTAAAAATAAGATGAATAATATGTCACGAGCGATCACAACAGAGTCCTGAAATTCCAAATCCCATCCTTAAAGTATACGACTAACCACAAATATAATCTTTAAAACTGAATTTCTTAAAGAGAATACATGGTACTGTACTACATCAGAAATAATAGATATCTATTATTTCCGGCTATATGTATACCATATTTATGCTTTGTAAAACTGTTATGCTTGTATTCTAAAAGCTCAGTCACACTCAAAGAGTGGAGGTTCAAACTGAGAGCTTCTCTTGATCGAGTGTCAATGTTGTTTTTGAATAGCTGAAGGGTTAGTGTTGTAACTTATTCTGTGACTACAGTATACAGTATACTAACCCTCCAGCTATTCAAAAACAGCACTGACACTTAAGAGAAGCTCACATTAAACCTCCACTCTTTGAGTGAGCTTTCAGAATACAGGAGTTAGTCTTGAAGTATTCTATAAAGTGGCAGAGATTACTGCTTAATGCTTGAAATTAATTTAAGTCAAGAAGGAAAAAGAACAACAATTTTTGAATCGGTCTATTAACACATCGGTATGAATTACCTTCTGAATGCAGCAAGTGATTGCTTTGGAGATGTTTTTGATTTGACAGACACTTGGCTAATTGTTTCATTATTTGGAATGATATCAAGAAATCTCAAACCAAATTGCTTGTTCTTAGTGTAAGGTTGACGAAGGATCACTCGAAGTCTATCCCAGTCACCATCAGTCACACCTTGCACAAAAGAGTCTACAGATGTAAAAAGATACAGTATGAAGTTGAGAAGTTCTCATTCAAATGGAGGGAAAAAAACAGGGGTGGTAAATTCCATGAACGGCTATGACAGTACATACAGGTACTGCATCTTAATAATGAATTTATTGCAGTATTTCTACAAAGTAGCTCTACAGTACATCTGCAAAAACTATATAAATATTGAAGCCTAAATAAAAAAGTCTGTGAAGGTTTCAAGTAGGTCTCTAGCCCAGTATCAGTTGTAAATATACAATAATTATTTTGTTAAGGAATATTTTTGTACAATGGAAAAAAAATAATAAAAGCAACCTCGTTCCCAAAAGAGGGAAGAGCCTGGGAACGAGGTTGTTAATAAAGTTCCGCTAATCACTATTCGAAAAGCAAAAAATTAAGCAACATTTAGTCTGCGATAGCAGACTGATCTCAGCTGACCCCCCTGGAGCAGCAGAGAAACAGTCTGCGATCAATCAACACTTATGCCGTACAGTTGCCCGGGCCACACAACAGGGGGCGGAATATGATTGGTTGAAATTTTCCTTTGTGATCACGCCGAAAATTACATAAATTACATCGTTATGTATAATAATTTGTAGTTGCTTTGCGTCCACCAGCTAGGACATGTTATTTTTTTAATAATTTTAAATCAATTATGCAAAATACTGCTCATGTATTGGTAACTGCACGGCATTAGTGTTGATTGATCGCAAACTGTTTCTCAGCCGCTCCGGTCGGGGTCAGCTGAGATCAGTCTGCTATCACAGACTAAGCAACATTGTACCCAGGCTATTTTCTCTACGCTACTTGTTGGATTAAGGAGCCCCGGGTACAAGATACCCAGACTCTTTTCTTTATGCTATTTGTTGGATTAAAGAGCCCTTACAAGGTTGATGGTCAAACAGATTGTT